AGGTATCAGCATTCATACAGCGGAACCAAAGGACTGCTACAGCCCCAGCAATAGAATTACCCGCGGATAAAAGTAAATTATCTCTTTGGACTCTACTTGACCAAAAAGTAGCGGAAGCAAAAACTATTTGTCACAACGTGTTAATGCACATATTTCTTTGGAACAATATCTTAGACAAGATTTCGTTGAGAGACATCAAAACCCTTTAAACTATTGGGACAGCAAAAAGACAACTTTTCCAGAACTCTACGAGCTTTCCAAAAAATATTTATGTATACCTGCTACTTCAGTTCCTTCCGAAAGGGTTTTTTCTAAAGCTTCGCAAATAATATATGATAGAAAAAATAGACTTAAAGGTGAAAAGCTAGATCAAATAATATGCTTAAATAGCAACTTTAATATATAATTCATATTTTTTTGCGTTCTTCTGATATTTATATTTATTTTATATGATATTGAATATCTTTTCTGCGCTTTACTATTTTTATGTTTTATTAAAATATTTAATTAAATTAAACCTTTGTATTGGTTTAGTTAAAAATGAATAAAATTCCAGTACTTTTTTGTTGTTTGAAGAGCACGCCTTTGTTTAGTTATTGAATTTGATTAAATAAATGAATGAATGAACGAAAAAATTCATTCAATAGTCAAAAATCATTCAGTCATTAACAATCGATAGTTGAAATCACTCGATAGTTCGCAACACTACTCACGCTGTCAGACAAAACGATATCCTCGGCGAGTGGAAACACTTTCGATTTGCAAAGAAAGTAGATGAAAACTGACTACAGAAATGATTGTGTCAAGTATCGTCTTAACTTTCYGCGGCCAACGCATAGTATTTCAAACAAAAGTCACACAAAATAGTTGAGAATTCGCAGAAATGAAACAGAAACGAAAGAAAAAACAAATAATGAACAAGCATACACAGAAAACATAGAATCTGCCCGAAAAATCTTCTTGTCCCATCCCGGGACAATATGCGCCATAATCGTCTTAAACTGCGAATGTTAAGAAGCCAACCTCTAATAAACGAAAATGTGTTTGTGATATATTGACCAAACATATCACAAACAGTAATAGAGTTAAGTGCTTCTTCGGCTTCTACTAAAAAATTCATTTGATCTAAGCTGCCCGAAAGGGTTCATCATATTTTTTTAATGCTCCGATGTATTTGCTATTAAAAATATTGAAGAGTTGGTCGAAAAACAATACAAACTCCGCGGTATTTAAAAAAGTTTAGGACTGAGATGTATTTAAGTGACCCGTTGCATACATCGCTAGCATTGCGCTATCAGCTGTATTGCTAAAGACTCGGGCAGCTAAGCGTACATTCATTTTTTGAAAAGTACTGGGCTTTAAATGTGCGGGAGTCAATTTTGGCGCACATCGAATATCACGTTGCGAATCCTGTTCACGGAAATGAACTATATCTTTCCAATCTACAGGATGCCCACGAAATTTTATATGGTTTTTGAAGTTTTCAATACAATTTCTCGTACTCTTTAACAGGTGAGGAGAATCTTAAAAGAATACGATTTCTTCACCATTAACTTCAAAATAGGGCCTATCATCTGTAAACCCCACTACTTTAGCAAAATTAACAAAATTGGATCCTTGATCACAGACKAATTGACAGGTATGAATACCTATTCCCTGGAGTTCCTCAATCACTTCAAAAAAATACTTCCGAACCACATCCCCTTTACAAGAATTATGGACGAAAAAGTATGCAACTGGTTGAGACCGGGAATCCTAAAGATCTTAACTAAAACTGTGTACCGTAGGCCATCCCGAAAAAAAACATAACCACTTCATTTGGGTAGCTTGTATTGGTGGAAAGGCTGCCTTTAGATAATACACATGTGGCAAAAAAATGTTTTTGAATTAATAAAATAGATATTTTAAATCTTTATAATACACACTTTTATGTATGCACAAGAACTAATATGCATTAAGGGGCTATTAGGTTAGGTCAGGGGCTATTCCAGTGTGACCCTTTCAAAAAATCGATTTTTTCTTTAGAATTTTTTTGTATCAGCTACTTATTCGACCAAAATATTCGATTGAGTACTTTTTTATTTAAAAAATCACGAAATTCGCCTATTTTTAAATGGGTAACACTAATATAGCCCCTTAAGTATTTGATGAATGTACATATGTATATGTATATATATATGTCTATATGTACATATATATAAAAATTCACCCAAGTATCACTAAAATACCTAACACATATTCCAAAATAAATTCATACCTTGCTAATTCTCGTTCCGATGGGAATTTATAGAGGGATTCAGCCGCCGCACATCTGCACACACAAGATTTTGGCATTCCTCTGTAAACAAAAACTTATTAAAAACTTCGACATATATCTAAAATATTTATACATCTTACCTTAATCCTGCTTTATTTCACAACACTTATATGGTTTTTAATATAAACTTTACTCGTATTATTAACACTAATACATATGTATTGTTATTAAAAACTTCGACATATCTTTCTTTTCAAAATCAATTTCCATTTACTGTTTTCCTATAACGGCTAACGAATTGTCAATTTGTATACATCAATCGACAAATTACCACCCAGGATTGTATCCTTCTGCATGCAAAAATTTATAAATACTTGAAGCGTGTTTAAAAACTGCACAAAAAACAACTGGGACCCTATTCTGTATCTCGATTCGTAAATGTATTCTATTCGAAAATCCGATCTACTTTATAATTTTTCGAAAGTTGTACCACCCTGTGCCAGAATAAATACGGTCAATTTTCGTTTTTGCTTTCTACAACTCAAAAGCTAACGAATATTTTATTCGAAAATTGGCTTGAAAATCCGAAAATCGAGTTACGGAATATAAAAAATGCGAATTCGAGTAAATTTTGTTTCGAATCGAGTTACAGAATCGCTCGCCCGCTGATTTAACATTAAACCAAAAAATATCGCAATAAAATTGAACAGATATG